TAGTAGTTGGAAAGAAGATGACCCCCAAATGGAATGGCACTGTTAGGAGGTGTGGCTTTGTTGGAGTAGATATAGAGGAAGTGTGTCACTCTGGAGGAAGGCTTTGCGGTCTCATATATGCTCAAGCCACGCCCAGTGTTTCTGACCACTTTCTGTTGCCTGCGAGTCAAGATGTAGAACTCTCAGCTCCTTCTCCAGCACCATGTCTGCCTGCACACTGCCTTGCTTCCCACCATGAAGATAATGGACTGAACCTCTGAGCTGTAAGTGAGCCCCAGTTCAATGTTTTCTTACATAAGCGTTGCCTTGGTTATAGTGTCTCTTCACAGCAATAAAAACCATAACTAAGACAGCTTATTAAATACTATATTCCTCCACAGAAGGAAAAGATGGACAGTGTCATTGACCTTCCACCTGAGTGCCCAGTTGCTCTTCCCAGCCAATTATATGAATTAGGTTCAAATTGCATACAGTCTCAAGGTATTTGAGGTCAAACTAGGGTATAGCGTCTAGGAGAGACTAAGAAAGGGGGATTTCTATCTATGCAGCCATGGGGGAGCTGGCATCCATACCGGATGAAGAAAGACTCCAGTGGAAATAGATATTGCTTAAGCCACCCTCTTAGGAAAATTTCTCACAACATATGGTAAATTTATTTGTTAATTATATCTCATGATATTAAAAAACTTTTTTTTTTTTTTTTTTTTTGGTTTTTCGAGACAGGGTTTCTCTGTGTAGCTTTGCGCCTTTCCTGGGACTCACTTGGTAGCCCAGGCTGGCCTCGAACTCACAGAGATCCGCCTGCCTCTGCCTCCCGAGTGCTGGGATTAAAGGCGTGCGCCACCACTGCCCGGCCTTAAAAAAACTTTTTTAAAGAAGGACACATATAAAAATTAAGAAGGCTGGATGTTTCCAGAACTCAGAGAGAAAATAAGAGGTGATACTTCACATGACTTCTAATGAGGAAAAAAATAACATACATGGCTTGTTATCTAAAGTTACAATTACAGGGTGGACATGTGTGATGGCTATTCTTGGCTGTCAACTTGACTACATCTGGAATTAACTAAAACCCAAGCAGCTGAGTACACCAGAGAGGGCTTTTCTTAATTAAATTTTAAATTAAATTTGGGAAGACGCAGCCTAAGTCCAGATCATCTGACATGGGAAGATTCACCTCTAATCTGAGCCACACCTCCTAGTGGCAGCCCACAGAAAGAACATGGAAGAAAGAAGTTTTTGTTCTTTGCCTGCTCACCCTCGCTCTCCTTGGCAAGTCCATTCATTCACTGGCATTAGAGCTGACTTCTTTAGGATGCCGGCGTACACTGAAGACCAGCTGAGACATCCAGCCATGTGGACTGAACAGCTACTGGGTTCTTGGACCTTCCGTCTGGAGACAGTCAGTAATGGAATAGCTGGGCCATAGCCTGTAAACCACTGTAATTTATATTTATTCTATCAGTTGTTTCTCTGGAGAACCTAATACAATCTGTAAAGATTTTTAGCTGTAAGTACATTTTTCCTGATAGCTCTATTTATAAAAAATGTTCCTCATTCAAAATATATCTATAGACCACAGGGAAAAAAATTAAAAGGATATAAAATTGCAAGTAGAAAAAAGTTTACATAAGTTACAACACATAAAAAGTTAAAATGTTTCAAAAGATCAAAATATATCTGTAGACCACAGGGAAAAAATTAAAAGGATATAAAATTGCAAGTAGAAAAAAGTTTACTTAAGTTACAACACATAAAAAGTTAAAATGTTTCAAAAGATGTAACTATAAGGTTGTATCTTTAATAAAAATAATTAAAATATTTTAGATAAACGTGAATCATATATAGATACAATATATAAGCTTTGTCCTAAAAGTAAAAATATAACAATGGACGAAACCATGAAAATGTAAAGCCAAGTCCTAAAAGGTCTGAACATATAAGTAATTATATAAGTAATACAAAATTTATGAGAAATGGGACTTGATGATGTGTTTACTGATTAGAGTTTATTAATGTTCCTAAGATTATAACAATCTATTCATGATAGCAAAAACATGCTTAAAGCATGTGTCTAATCTCATGCCTTTATTTAACTTGGTTAAACTTTACCATTTGGGAGAACCAGGGCACAACAATAGCTGTGGTAATGAGTCACTGCACACAACTTCATCCTTATGAACATCTGCTTATGAGAACCAGTCTGACCCTCTCTACTGAATTATATCCTTATGATGAAAATGGGTTTGCTTGATATAAAAGATAATTAATGTCAGGTGTTGACATTCCAGGAAATCTTACTTTAGAAATGAGGATTCCAAAATAAAAGAAAATGCCCGTTTGGGGAAAAACAAATGCTCCGAACAGATAAAGCCACCTTTTAGATTTCGAATATAATGAAAATGGAAATCACTTTAAGAGTTTCTGAAATGGTTTTTATTATAGAAATTAATAACACAAAATGTATAGAATTAAAGAAAACCATATACTTAATGCATGATCTTGTAAAGTGTTTTAGATTTTATAGAGGTACACTATAAAATAATTATCAAAATGAGGTCCCAAGCTTCTCTGTGGCTTATATTAATGGTTTGAAGTTTATTTTGGTACTAAAAAGAGCTTCAATTCAAAATTTATTATTTTTAGGGCTCAAAATCTTAACAAAGATAAATTATCCCAAGATAAATCCTAATATTGGAGTTTTTAGTTTATTATTAATTTTTAGAACAAAAGTAATTAAAATGTGAATTAATGATCCATTACTTCATAAGTGATTAAGTGTTTTTACTATGCCTAAAATATGTTTGTAGCCATTCAAATACCAATGTAATTTGTTTACAGAGATCAGATTGGAGGCAGAGGCCAACTGATATCTCCCATTATTCATTCTTCCGTATGTGTTGTAAAAATGTCAGAGGAAAGCTTAAAAACAGGAAAGCAGAGCAAGTTTGAAACTAAGCTTGAAGTTTGCTCATCTGAAATAATATTTAAAATCAAGAGTACTTTAGCAATAAGAAATTATAAAAATCAGACCTGGTTATGCAGAATTGAATAATTGAATAAAATGGGTTAAATTTACACTATGTGCACTCTATAAGAGTAATTGGTTGGTGCATTTGCACGGCAGGGTTTCCCCAGGCTCAAGTGGTACCCTTTCCTCTAGATAGGACACAGATTCCATCAGAGTAAGTTGCATGCTAGCCTCAATACAAGATAGGGATGCATAGGGAGATAAGACTTGCCACAGCCTTCTGCTCCTGGCCGTGGCCATGCAGCCTGGACTAGAGAAATCTCCTGTCTGTAGGGAAGAAGAATTTCTCCTCATGTCTCACATGATTGGGGCGGGGGTGGGGGTGGGGAGTGGATTCGCTTGCCCAGTGGAGGGTCTTGGAGTCTGTACCCACATTCCAACTCTCTCAAGCAATAGAGAATCAAATAGTAATTTGTTTCCTGAATTGACACATTATGACGCTGTAAACAGGGGGACCTTGTACATAAGCCTACTGCCCAGTTCGTATGGAGCCTGCATGCTAGTTCAATTGGCACATCCTTTAACTTGGCATTCAGTTTTCTTCTTAGCAAAGATAATTCCGGGGCTGAGAGGTCAATACCTGATTTTTTTTTTTTTTTTTTTTTTTTTAGGTTTTTCGAGACAGGGTTTCTCTGTGCAGCTTTGCGCCTTTCCTGGATCTCGCTCATCTAGACCAGGCTGGCCTTGAACTCACAAAGATCCGCCTGCCTCTGCCTCCCAAGTGCTGGGATTAAAGGCGTGCACCACCACCGCCCGGCAAATACCTGATTTTATGAGGAGTCCCCGTGGCAGTTTCAAATAAATACAATGTAGAAGCTCTGCCGTAGCACCAGCCAGTACAACGGGCCGAACTCTGGACAATCATCTAAATACTGTTGGAGATATCTTCCTGTGCATCCACCATGCCTGCATAAAGACAGCAACTCCAACTGAGGAAGAGGAGCCCTGGACTGCAGAAGCCCACTCAGACCAGTCCCCCAGGTCACCATCCAGTGACAAGGGCAGACTCATCAGCTCTCTTCCCCCCTCAACCAGAAGCTGGTTGGCCAGCACATGGCAGAACTTTGAAGAACTCCACAGCCCGGCTCCTGTGGCAAACCCAGAAGCCGATGGGTCTGTGCATGGCAGAATCTTGAGGAATTCAACAGGGACATTTGGAGGCCATGATCACAGTGCCTTCTGCTCCCCTTGGACTCAAGGTACTGTTGACCTTAATGGTTCCTATAGGCCTAGCCACCATGCCTCCAAGGTGTGAAGCCGCGCATGAAGGATTATGTTAGGCCTGCTGTACCTGTGAATGACAGATATTCTGGGAAAATTATCTACCTTCATTAATGATTTATGCCTGGCTATACATCCCGCCTGTCCTTGTAGATGAATGTTCTCTAAAAATAAAATGGGACGGGTCCCTCCTGCACCACGTCCACCCTTCCTTCTGAGTCTGATTTCCCCAGTGACATGGTGCTTTGGCAGGAACTCACAAAACCTCTGCCAACATGTAGTGTCCCAGGGAACAGGCATAGGAAGATTGATGGGAGCCATCACTCCAAACACCTTGCCGCTGCCACCACTTGGCAAATAAAAAATGGCTGGGATGTGCACGGTGGGGCTTAGCAATTGGTGAACTAGACTTCCGGGAATGGGTCTCTAATGAATGGCACAGGGAGAGCTCAGAGACAGTGGTGGGTGCAGTTCCTACAGTCTCCACACAGGGGCACTGGTTTAAGATAAAACCCAGTTGGATGTGGAAGCAAGCACCTTGAAAAACAGCACCAAGGAGGACTTAAGTTCCAGGCCAGATGGGTACTCAGTGAGCACTTGTCTCAAAAAACCAAATGAGAAAAAGAAATAAAAGGTGGGCTGGGAGTGTGAGTTTGCCCAGTATGCCCAGCCTCTAGGTTCAGTCCTGAGCAGCACAAAAAATCAACAACCTAGCGCACAAGTAAAACTTTTCAGGTACTTGGGCAAGCGCACCACACGATGGCGGCAGAGGACAGTAACAACCTTTGCGGCACTCACCAAGTTACAGCAAGTAGAGCTCTTGGGGTTTCCTGGCCTACACAGCAGGGATGGGAATTCTCAGCAAACCTCTGAGAGGCTACTTCGGAGGAAAGGGGGACCCAGACTCTTTTGTAAGTAAAAATGTTCCTCTTTCTGTTTTCTTCAGTAGCCAGAGTGGTACAAAATAGGGAAGGGGTTAGACGGAACTGCATATACAGGGAGGTGACAGGTAAGTATGAAGTCCCATCTCCACAGCAGCCCTAAACTCCAACAGGACAAAAGTGACTCTCGAAAGAAGTCATTATAATTTAGTAAGGAGTCACCAAGGAAGACGAACTGAAGGAGGAACCTTGGTAGGTGGAAACTATTCAGTTTCTGTTACAGTGCATTATTTGTTTATTTGTGGGAGAGGGGAGCTTGAAGATGTGCAGGAGTCTTGCCTACCTTGTGGATCTTTGAGATCAAACTCAGGCTTGACAACAAGCACCCTTACCTGCCGAGCCATCTCACCAGACCCAGTTTAAAGTAAATAAGAGATACGGGTGTAGAGGCCTTTCCGGAAAATGTACCTCACTCACTTTTATAAATTGAGTTCAGGTTAGACACATCAAACTTTGCTCCAAGCTGGAGGCATCCTGTTAAGACTGGCAAGTCTGAGCACAGACAGTGTAAGTCACACCTGTGACCTCAGCACTTAGGAAGCTAGTGCAGGAGGGTCATGAGTTTGAGTCCAGCCTAGCCTACAGAGTGAGCGCCTTTCTCAGAGAGAACGAACAAAAGTTCAGTTGTGGTGGTATTTTGTTTGTGTTCTAACACATAAACCTTGCCTGGAGATCAGAGTGCGGAGCTAGTCACCAGAGGCCAGGCAATGGTGGCTCACACCTTTAATCCCAGCACTTTGAGAAGGAAACAGGAAGTGATATGGCTGGGCAGAGAGAGAGGAATATAAGGTGGGAGGAGACAGGAGCTCAACCCCTTTCAGGCTGAGGAGTTGGTGGGGCGAGATGTGGCTGTGGCTTGCTTCTTTGTCTCTCTGATCTTTCAGCATTTACCCTGATATCTGGCTCTGGGTTTTTATTATTAAGACCAGTTAGAATTTGCGCTCCATTCAATGGCTGAGGGTATAACTCTGTCTACAGTGCTTGAAGGTGCTGTTTCCTTGCAGTGATTCTCCACCTCTAGCTCTTTGGATCTTTCCTCTCCCTTTGCCTTAGCTGGATCAGTGGGCAAAGGTGCCCACTACACAAGTCTGGTGTCCTGCGCTTAGTTCCCAGAATCCACCTGAAGGTAGAAGGAGAGAGCAAAGCTGCCCGTCCCCGGAACTCCACACAGTGCTGTCATGTATGTGCACACATTCTGATAATACAAAATAAAATAAAGACAAGGACTGAGCTCAGGGGAAGGAAGGAGATCAGCATTGGCTCAATACCCCGAGACCAATTTCTCAGTGCAAAGATTTACTTGCCCCAGAGGGACAGAGGGCAGGAATAAGAGACAAAGACAGGAGACCGAGGATGACAGGGAACAAGGGAGAGGGAGAAGGGTATTTGTCCCCCGAGGTGGGAGACAGAGGACTACCTCTGGATAGAGAGGAGACAGACGTGGCCCACAGGAAAATGGCAGTTTATAAAGGTAAAATGGGAGACCCCATGTTAGGATGAGGTGTTTAATTTTAATTAGTTGTGTTAATTAGGTGAGCCAAAGGGGGCTTTTGATTGCTGGGCTTCAATTCTTTGATAGCTGGACCTTGGTAGTCAGCCTCAGGAGGAGGAATTGGCCAAATAAGGGAATAGAGCTTGGTGTCTGGCTTTAGGAATGTAAGGTAAGGGTTTTTAACTAGGCAGAGGGAATCGGAGAGAAAGGGTAAGGCCTGCCAGAGCGTGTTTGTCAGGCCTGGGCTGGCTAGAGTCCTTTCAGGAAGAGCATTTAATTAGCATGCACATAACCCTGGGATGCAATTCCCCACACTAATAAATTTTTTTAATGGGCACTTCATTAATTTTATGCATATTCCATGCCTACTCTGTGCTAGCCATTGAGATCAGAATATTAAGTAAAGTCATTCCCCACCACTATGAAAAGGAGTAGTATATTTTAAATTATTTATTTAGAGAGTCTAGTGTAGCCCAGGCTAGCTTTGACCTTGGTCTGTCGTCTAGGATGGCCTTGAACTCCTGATCCTCCTGCCTCCATATCTCAAGTGCTGGCATTAAAGATATGTATGTGCCACTACACTGGGCTTATGTAGCTCTGGGCACAGAACACAGGGCATCGTGGGTACTAGGCAGGCAGACACTCCAGGCATTCTACCACCTAAACTACGTCTCCTCACCCTCCCACCACCCATTTGTTGTTGCTGTTTTTGTGAGACAGGGTTTCTCTGTGTAGTCCTGGCTGTCCTGGAGCTTGCTCTCTTGAGCAGAACTCAGAGATCCACCTGCCTCTGCCTCCTGCGTGCAGGGATCAAAGGCGTGTGCACCATCACTGCCCAGCTTTTATTTCATTTTAAAACCAGGGTCTTATGCCACCCAGGCTGTGCTCAGATTCACTAAGTAGGCAAAGGCAGCCTTGAACTCTGGCCCTCCTGCCTGCACAGCTCAAGTGCTGGGGTGACAGGTTTGTATCACCAAGTCAGGGCATATTTCACTTTCAATGTTCTCCTGCCAAAATGGAAGGCACATTGCATCAGCTGCCCGGAGAGGAGCTCCTGCCAGTCAACCCCACTTTAGATAGAGAAAGCCCCTAAAAATAGCCATCTGTGTTCCAGCTCAACAGGTGATTGGCTCAGAGAGGGGAGGAGATCCTCTAGGCTGGGTGAAGGAGAGAGAAAAGGACAGTGCCATTCCCAGCTTCTCCTCGGCAATGGCTCTGCCTCTTAAGGTCCTGAGTCGGGGCTTGGCCAGCGCAGCCAAAGGAGACCATGGAGGGGCGGGAGGTAAGTGGGGCTAGGCCCGACTCTGACTTAGTAGCCTAGCCCATCTGTTCTCTTGTCCTCCTCTTTCCCCCTCCCTCTCCCGGCTGCCCTCTCCTGATCCACCAGGCACTGATCTCTCAGGCCTCTAGGCCCAGGGATAGCGTCTCTCTTACCCTCACCTCTGCTCCCCCAGCCAACACCTGGCGCTTCCTGACCTTCGTGCTAGCACTGCCCAGCGTGGCCCTCTGCACCCTCAACTGCTGGATGCATGCTGGCCACCACCAGCGCCAAGAGTTCATTCCTTACCACCACCTCCGCATCCGCACCAAGGTATGCCAGGGGCTGAGGGAGGGCCGGCAGGGGAATCCAGGGGAGGGACTGGAGTGATCTGTCTGCTTTCTCTCCACAGCCCTTCTCCTGGGGGGATGGCAACCACACACTTTTCCACAATCCCCATGTCAATCCTTTGCCCACGGGCTATGAGCACCCTTGAAGTCCCAGCAGACACACTCGTTCACACTCTCCAAATTGACCTTCTGCGTCCCGGCTACGAGAGCCCCTGAAGTCCAGTGGACAGTCCTAAGTGCAATAAAGGTGTGGAACTTCTGTGTCCTCTGGCTCTTTGGGAACGGCATGGCGGAGGGAGCTGGGCAGACTCCAGAAGGGCAGTTGGTATCTGGGCTCAAGCTCTTCCATACAAGGAAAATGTGGAATTTCCCCTGCATTTTCATTTTATTTAAAAAAAAAAACCATTTCATACAAGCAATACACTGTATGTTGAGCATATTCTCTTCACTCTGTGTTGCGTGGTAATTCTTTCCATATGAAAATGTATGCTGACCCTGTGCCTGCTCCTGCTCCTGGATCAGCACTGAAGTCTAATACATGGGCAAAGGCATAAAAATATCCCAGCTCAGAAGTATGGCATCACATCTGGGAAGTTCCCCAGGCTAGTCTTGAGCCGTGGAGAGCTTGTTCCCATGCCAGTAGATTCATAGGCAGAAACAAGACCAACTCCTCCTGGCAGAGATACATGGGAAAGCAGATTCCTAGGACTGAAGCAGGCGTGGAGTCTCAGAGCTGCAATCGGCCTCACCGGCTGTGGTAGGAGCCGCAGGCTGGCCATCCAGCATTTCTTTGTACTGACGTTTGAAGAAGCCAAGCTGTGAAATGCGGTCAGTCAGAAAACTGGGTAAGAGGGCGGGGAGGAAAGTCGAGAAGAAGAAGCTGGAACTAGGAGAACTACACTAGCTTCCAGCTGTGTGCCGGAACGTGCACATAAACAGCTGTCCCGGGGTGAGATAGATTGCGTGCCAAGCAGTTAGACACCAAGCCGCAGGAGAAAAGCACAGGTTAATAGGCAGGTAGATTCGCACCCACACCCTGACCTTTCTGTTTCACTTCAGCCAATCTGTGATGTGAGTCTTATTGTTACTTCAAAAACAAGAAGCAAAAAAAGAGACCCCAAAAGGAGAAGCAACTTGCCTAAAATTAGAGTGTAGTGACATTGATGGAATATGTTCCCAAGCCCGCCCCACAACCATGATCCGAGTTTTCACTATCCTATCTTGTGCGTGGCAGAGCCGGCGGTGAGCACTGGGAGTGTTAGGAAAGTGACGGGCAAACAGCTCACCTTGTACAGTGCGGCTGTGATGAGAGCCAGCAGCAGCAGGCCTCCCACGGAGCTGCCCACTACCAGGGGGATGGGCTTGTAGACTTCATATTCTTCTAGCATTGTCTCTACCTGATTTGAAAACCAGAGTGCTCTCTCTCTCTTTCTCTCTCTCTGTCTCACACACACACTAACACACACTAACACACACACACTAACACACTCATCCACACTCACACAGTCATACACACACACACACACACACACACACACACACACACACACACACACACACACACACACACCAGGCTCCCAGCCGTTAACATCTCCTCTTCTTTGCCAATGCCCTATGCCAAGCATTGAGCTACAGCAGCACTTGTGCACCCAGTGCCTGGGGACCTTCATTCATCCTCCCCCCAGGCTGGCAAATCCCCCAGCCATCACTGCAGACTGAGCATCAGGAGCCCTCTCACCAGCCTGGCCACCGCCCACCACACAGTCACTACCTGGGCTCTCAGAAATGCCTCCTGTCCTGGCAGCTGGGAGTACACAGATGTGTTGAATGTGATCTCGGCCGCACTCGTGACCACCACCTTTTTCTGCATTGTCTGCAAAAGAGAGGGTGGGGCAGACCTGGAGTTTGGACCTGCGGGAGCTCAGGGTTCGAGAACGGCCCTGACCCAAGGATGCTCCAGACCCACCAGGCACACACGGACCGGGGGAGGACCTCTGCTGTTGGCCACACACCTGGCTGACCCAGCCGAAGCTGAGGTTGCCCTTCAGGATGAAGTCAAGCTCGTCCTGGATGCCCAAGGAGGGGATGTCACAGCGGAAGTGCAGGCAGTCGGCAATGGAGCAGTCCTGGGGCCAGAGAGGAATAAAGCTGAGGAGAGAAAGGAGGGGGGAAAGGCTCTCCAAGATGGGGGGGGGGTATAAAACTACAGACTGACAACACGACCCTGATTCGTCAGTACATTCCTCTGTGTCCCCCAGTGCACAGGCTTTTCTCACCAGCACAGAATGCCTTTGAATCCGGGTCAGAAAATCGGAATGCTGAGGAGGCTCCCTCTGCGACGATGCACAGGAGACACCCTGGGGGGGGGGGGGGGACATTTTCCTGATAAGAGCGTGGTGCTGTTAAAGACAAGGATTCGAGAGAGAGAGAGAAAAACTTCAGGCTGGTACCTGTGCTGAGGTCCTCACAGTCACATCCCACACAGCCACACCATTCAGTAGGACGGGGACCCGGAAGTTAACGCTGATGGCCAGCTTCCGCTGACTCAAGTTAGTCACCTGCAGGAAATGGAGACCCAATGTCGACATGATCCCTAGGATACCCCATTTATCTCTTACCCATAGCTCTCCAGTCTTCCCCACCCTCAGCCGAGACAGACATGCATGTCCTTTAGCTTCTCACACGATATCGATGTTCTGCCTCTTTCCCTCTGTCCCCGTCGAAAGATGAAAAGTTGAAATGCTTCGTGGAATCTTCCTGCCTGGGGAAAATGGCGTGTTGGTGAAAAACAGCTCTGGCATCATCTCTGTCTGAGCCATGGCTTGCTGCAGAGGACTGGGCCCAGCAGGTGATGCAGGAAAATAACATCGGTCTCCATGCGCATCTGCAGCCTCAGTGTTCATGCTACTCCTCTCCCTACAGTGTCCTTTGCCGGGTACCGTACTTACAGCTCTTCCCTTGGTGCCCCGGCTTCTTTATACCGCCATGGATTGTTTCAGCTCTTTCTTTGGCATGAAATATTCTTAGTCAAGTTCCAGGAAATTTCACCTAAAGACCCAACTTCTGCATCTCTCTTGTAATGTTCAACATTACAGTGGAGAGAAAGCACTGATATATTTCCTCCAGCTGATAGAGTCTAGCAGATAGGGAGTAGCCCCAGGAACTCCTAGGAAATCTTCTGCCAGAACAAATTAGCCCATGGGAGTTCTAGGGAGTGGAGGTTAGATTACTTGGGACAAATGGAGTAAGAGCCTGAAGGCGGTAATGAAAGCAGATATGGCCATGCTGGGGCAAGTAAGCACATATGAAAGGGGGTGGCCCAGGAGCTCAAGCCAGGAGGGGCCCCCTACGCTGACGGAGGTTTCTGTCTACTGGTTCCTTGTTTTTGCATTTGTGAGACAGGCCTCCAACTGTATCCCAGACCAGCCTTAGATTTGCAGCCCTCTTCCTGCCCCTGCCTTCCCAATGCAAGGGTTACAGCTGGGAGCCAACACATCTGGCTTATCCGTGACTTTCAGTTGGCATTTACTGTCACAAAAGAGAGGAGGGAGGGCCACAGGAGGAGTAGGAAGAGGGAGAGAGGGGAATGGAGGCTATGTAAATACATTACTCATGCATGAAAGTATTGAAAATAAAAATTTAAATGAAAAAATAAAGTACACATTTACTTTTGAAAATGTGTTATGTTATACCAATGCTGATATAAATAAAAGCATCACACACAAAAGTTTTTTCCAGGGTATTTGGATTGTCCTGATGATTTCTTTAGTTAAGTTGTAATTTCCACCTTCCCAATGCTGGCTGTCTCAGAGCTCAATAGAATTAACCAGGCTGGGCATAGTGGTGCCCATCTATAATCCCAGCACTTGGGAAGCAGAGGCAGATGGACCTCTGTGAATCTGAGGCTAGCCTGATCTATATAGCGAGTTACAGAACAGCCAGGACCACATAGTGAGAGCCTAATTTAAAAAGAAGAAGAAGAAGAAGAAGAAGAAGAAGAAGAAGAAGAAGAAGAAGAAGAAGAAGAAGAAGAAGAAGAAGCAGTATTGAAGGGCCAACATGCTTCACCACCCAGAAGCCAGATCATTACCCAGAACCTCTGCATACCCCACCAACAGTTTTCATGCTATCAACTTGACATTTAAGAGCACCTGGAATAGACTGAGGATGTGGCTTTGTGGCAGGACGCTTGCTTAGCATGCACTAGGCCCCAGGTTCAAGCCTCCGAACTGAGGCACTGGGGACAGATTTCATGAGTCCCATGTCAGACACACCACTTCCTACCCAACGATTTAACCTCACTAGAGTCTTGCACTTTTTCTCCCTAATGAGGGCTGTAGCAGCACCTAGCACACGTGAGCTCTCCATAAATGCTGGGGTTTTCTCTTAGTATGCTAGCTGGGATTCCTCTGTGCTTCCCAAACCTGTTCTCTCTGTACGTCCATTGTCTTACTTTAAAATCTCTAGTTCTAAATGTCTTTTCTTTAAAAAAAATTAATTTTACATTTATTTGTTGATCTGGGGGAGGGTGTGTGCCACCAAGCTCATTTAGCGGTCAAAGGACAACATGCAGAAGTCTGTTCTCTACCTCTGCCATGTGGGTCTCAGGCATCAGGCTTGGCAGCTGGTGACTTTACCCATGGAACCTTCTTCCTGGCCTTAAACCTCTCTTCAAACCTAAGTAAAACACTCAGCCTTCCTTCCTCGGTCTTGAGAGGTGTGTAGCACGTGAGCATCGGCACAGAGCCCCTCTGGAAGAAGCCTCGGGGCTTCACCTCCTTGCTTCGGACCACATAAGCAACCCTGTTATGCAAGCTGGCCTTGTGTGAGTCATTCAGTGGGGCTTACCTGATTGGTACAGGGGTGAGCTATTTAACCTCCGGATTTTTTTAATTGGTAAAAATAGGGATAGCAATATGGTTGTCCAGATGATTAAATGGATATAATAATTAAAAAAACTATATAACTCTTCCCAAACCCCACAATAACCAAAAATGCTTGAAATATCCCCAGTATAGTTAACTGTAAGCTGTGTTGTGTTTTCCTAGGGATAAAAGAGAAAACTCACACAAGTCGTCCATGGGTCATGTCATTGACAATGACACATTTGATCGTGACCGCCTCAGGTTCTCCTACATACTCAGCAGCCACGGCAGCAACCCTGTCCATGGTGTTCTCACAGGCTTCCACACAGTTAGTTCTCTGCTGCCTGGAGTGCAGCCCCTTGCTTGCTTCTAGCCTGCCCCTGCTCCTGCCCCT